GGAATATCCAATGAGTAGTGAGTTGTTCTGAGTCTGGCAGGTATATTGGGCTAGAATTGAAAGAGCAAGGTAGCATTGGTAGGGTTCGTAGATAATCAGCCGAGTTTGGCAGGAAGTGGCAATAAATCATTCAAGGCCACGCAGAGAAAAAGTTTCAGGGAAACTCCACAAAATTCCAGTTCAGCCAAAAAATACTGTAAGATTGAGTCTTATGCAACTAAACTAGCATATCTGCTTAGCACTGCAGCCTCACAGCGCCTGGGGCCCAGGTTCAATTCCAGCCTTGGGCAACTGTATGTATGGAGTTTGCACATTCTCCCTGTGTCTGCATGGGTTTCCTCTGGATGCTCTGGGTCCTCCCACAGTCCAAAGATGTGCCGGTTAGGTGGATTGACTATGCTAAATGGTCCGCAGTGAAAAGGGACACCTAGGCCAAGTGGATGAGCCAGGGTAGTTGTGGGTTACAGGATATGGTGGGGGATTGGGATGCTCTTCAGAAGGTCAGTGCGGTCTCAATGGGCCAAATGGCCTCCTTCCGCACTGTAGGGATTCTATGATTCAATGATCAGGTTACTGAAATCTGAGCCTGCATGAGTCAATGACATCTAAATTACCTTGAAAACTTTGATACAAGGCATTAACAGTTTTGCAAGTGATGCAAAAGCCTCAACATTAGCTATGTTTTCAGCAGGATAAAATGCATGCACTTTGAGTATTTGCTTTAAAATTCATCTTGCCTTCATCATTTGTTGTCATATAAAAAGGCCTTGCACCATTTTTAATCTACACAGATTCATAGCACCATCTAGTGAAGGTATTTTTTGAACTAATTTCCTCAGAACCATCTAATTATTCAACTGTGATTAAAGCCTCCGTTTGTCTCATTTTAGTTTAGTATGAGCAAGCCAGCAATCTATGACAGGTAACCTGCATGGAACCAATAGTTCCTAGAGTTGCTAGGTTGTAAATTAAAATCTGTCCGGTGGGAGGGGAAGGGTTTACTGTAAAGTTTTAGAAAGATCACTCAGGACAGTTTGGGAGTCACTGAAGAGGAATTCAAAGGTTACAGCCAATGTGTAGGGGGTAAGGAGAAAGATATAGACAGGGTGCGATGTAGTCTCTGTGCTAGGAGTGCGGCATTTAGCTGTAATGCTGGGAAGGTGATCAAACTACCCAGACTCAGTGAGGAATCAAGGGAAACTCGATTGGTCTCTTGGAAGAAATTCTAGGAATTAGTTGGAAACTAAGTGTTAGAGTCAGAAAGCAGAGGAAGATTTGTCGAGCTGAGAAAGTAGGAAAATTTCTAGGTCTGTGGAAGCAGTGCAGGCTCAGAAGAAACCTATGAACTGTAAAGTTTCAGTGAAGCTGAGCAAATAAGCGTTTAGAAACTCAGAAACAGCACTTCCCTGATGCAATTAGACAAGTTTGGAACTGGACAGGCTTGGAGTGGGGACCGGTGGGTCTTTTATAGCTATTGAGATTCTATGTCATATGAGGAGCAGAATTGTTGAACAAACACTATGTAGTGATTGGAACCAGGTGGACCTTGTTGACTGTGTGGTCCTTGATTGGGGTTGTTAACCTGAGCCAACCAGGAAGCCCTAACTGACCAATATAAACAGGGGATTTAGAATCTCTTTAGTTCAGGGGACTGACTCTGGGCTGGCTGGTCGGTCACAGCCAGTGTACTGTGCACAAGTAAATAATGGGTGACTTGGTGATGGGATACTGGCCCCTGTACAGTATTTCACACTAAATGCAGGACTGGCTCACTGATGCCAGCTATTGGTGAACAGCTGGAGTTCTGCTTGTGAATGAATACTGAAATGCAGCTTTGGAGTCCAGGGAAGCACAGATCCAAGAAAGGAGGGTAATCAACAAGAATGTGAACAGTCTTTCAGGCAGTCCATGATTAAGAAGTTCTTGAGAGGGAGTTTCAAGGCCAAATCAGCAAAAGTGAATAATTGGATCTCTTGAGAAGCTTTACAAGATTTGATGACACATTTGTCATTAAAGTCAGGGGGTAGCTGCTGAGAATTCCATGAAATCTGTCCTGATTGCATTTGTTATTTAATGTGTGTTTTAATCACCACCTATTACCAATATTTCCCAATGTTAATTCTGAACATTAGCATATACATTGTACATTATATTACTGCTCTAATATCCTATAGTAAAGTTTATTGGTGTTTGATCAAAATCATGGAATCTTGTGGCTTTATTCTCTTAGTAAATTCCGTGCTTTCAGAATGAATATCATTGGCCTCTAGCCAGATTGTAGCATTAAAGTTGGTGGTCTGGTCTGATTATTCTGTTTACTAAAGATTGAGAATGTGGGCTTCTTTGATAACTACATCACAATCCATAGGTAAATCTGCTTGATGAATAGGGGAAACAACATACATCTAGACTGTTAAATAGAAAAGAAAGACTGTTACATGTAAACTATGCTTTTTCTTCAAATAGTTTTTATCAGTAATATAAATTTGACAAGTATTAAAAAAGTTTTTGAATTTCATGATATCTGATGCACAATACATATTAATCCTAGAATGGTAAGTTTTTCACTTTATATAAAAAGTTTTCAATATCTTTTTCAACATTTATGTATAACAGTTTAAACTAATGGTTAAATGTATTTCATAATCACAAAATCTTGTTTACTGGAGAGATAAGACAAATAATTATTTCAGATGGCCTGAAATTGGCTATTAGATTGAGAAATTTTAAAACATGAGTCATCTGCCAGTTGTAAAAAGTGAAAAGATCAATAAACCAGCTGCGGAGTCCACAACATTTGATAAAATGACTGAGTAACAACTTTGAGAAGTCCATTGTACCTTCAAGCATGTTGAGTGACAGGCAAAATGTATGAGGAGGATGACAGGAACCTTTGACTATAAATACAGGCATACAGCAGGTAGTATAGCTCATTTACATGGTCACAAGGGCACCCAATATTGGTGCACCTATCTCATTATACAAAAACAGTTATATAACCATGAGCATTACCAACATGGCTGCTTGCCTGTTTGGAGGGACAAACAGAAAATTCTCTGAAAGTTTAAAAATGGCTAGGTGAGCTCCAGAAGCAAGATTCCTCAGTACTTTAGTTGCAGCATTGGAGTTCTTGCCAAGGAAGTTCCAAGGAAGAACAAGACTCCTTATCTCGTGCCAAGATACTGGATTTTGCCAAAACGGTAGAACAACTCAAGATGACATACATGCTGAATGGAAACTCAGTAGCCTAACATCTTCCAGGCTGTAGCTATTGGGGTTTTATGTCATATGAGGAATAGAATAGTTAAACAAACATATAAGATAAGCAGTAAGAGTTGTGTACAAAGATTATGTTTGCATATATTCAATATTATTGATTCTCCGGTGAAGAGTACTGAATTATGTTAACTTTCTTTTTAGATAAATGGTATTGGTTTATTTATGCAATGGTAGGGCTCCTGATTTTGGACAGTACATGGGATTCAGATTGTGTATGTAAGGAGTCTGGGAATATGTGTGGTGAGATTGTGTTGTGGGAATGATTCAACTGAAGTGTTATTCTGTTGGCTGTCTGAGATTCCTGGCTGCTGGCATAAGTTGTTCCTCTGCTTCCTCCTGCTCCATTTCTTCCTGCCCATGTGGTAATATGGGCCAACCTCTCTAGATGGAAATCTACAAGCTGCAGCAAGCACATCTAGTGGTGCCATGGTTTACAACATGGACCCATTCAGTGTCTGCACCTGACGGCAGTCATTAGCCAAGTGTTGAGGAACATCACTCATTGCCACGTAGCTGACTACAGAACAGGACTGATGCACGATGAAGGCATCATGACTGTTGCCAGGAAACTGGGCACAGAGCTGCATTAATCGGCTGTTTGCAGTTGCGCGACTCCCTGGACATTGAAATGCTAGTATTAAGTTCCTGTTCACATAGGTGCCAGCCTCCATTTGTAAAACACCTACACACTTAAAGAAAGCTTCAATGTGTGCAAAGCCTGCTGCTCTTGTATGCTGTTTCACTTCACCCACAGGAAATCAGATGCGGTTCACTCTCTCAGAACAGACAGTCTCATGCAGCAGTAGTGAGATGTCACTGATCTCCCCAGTTTCAGCCTGAAAAGAACTGTGATGCATTGGCTAAGGGTTAATGCCGTTTTGCCAGCCACACGAGGTCTGGTTTGGGGTTTCAGCTGCAATTGAACAATTAACACAATTCAGTTACAAGCTCCCAGGCAACTCACAGTATACTTTACACTGTTCACTGGTATTTAGAAGAATGGGTGTTGAATTTATTGAAACATAAAGATGCTGATAGGACTTGATAGAATGGATACCAGGAGGATATTTCCTCCTGTGCAGAAGACCAGAACTAGAGAACACAGTTTCAGAATAAGAAGTCTCTCTTTAAAAATGGAGATGAGGAGAGCATCTGTCCTCTCAAGGGGTTGTTGTTATGTCGTATTTTCTTCCTCCAGAAAGCAGTGGATCATGGAATTTAAAGCAAAGTTAGATGGATTTTGGTAAACATTGTAATTGAGGTTTATGGGAATGCAGATAGGAAAATAGTGTTGAGATCACAACTCGATCAGTCATGATCTTTGTGAATGGCAATACAGGTTCAAAGAACCAACTGGCCTATTCCAGCTCACAGTCCTATGTTCTAAAGGACTAGCTCCATTCATCTACCCCAAAGAAACGTACTTTGTAGGTTGATTTGCAGTATGCTTCCAAAAAATAAAAAATACAGGAGCCTACGGCATATCTTCCATTGACAGGAAAATGAAAGATTGAATACGGAATGACTGAAGTGAGAGTTTGACCTAAATGTCTGATGTTGCCAACTTTACATAGTTTGACAGAGGACCTAGTAAGGTTATGAGATTATCAGCAAACAAACAATCTTGTAGATCACAAGTGAGTATGTAATCATAATTACAACTATTAAACCTGCGAACTGAAATCAAGAAATCTTGGCTATAAAATTGACCAAACTAAATGTTATGACAACGTTTTTATTACTAAATGTATCAAATGCACACTTCAACTATCACAGTGTAGAAAAAAGTTAGAGCACTCCAATAAAATCTCTTGAGTACTTGAATATACATGCTTAGATTTTGGGGTAACTTTGCTTTCCCTTCTGAAACTCATGTAACACGCTTGCAATAACATCCTAGACAACTGGCATAAATGCTACAGAGCTGAATAAAAGCTTCCAAGGTGTAATTGTGTCACACTGACCCAAAGTAACTATACCATAAACACGGCTGGCATGCTGGTACATCAACAGGTCATCAAGAGCAATTAAAGACAATAAAAGGCACGACGCCTGCGTCAATAATAAAAAATAATTGTGTGCAGCCCAATGTCAAGGCAGAGAGTAAGTATACATTTTCTCCTGTTTGCATGCAATTGTAATGCAGCACTTTTCCAGGTATGACAGTCAAAGGTGAAACAGAAGATATCCATTATGCTGAAAGTGCAAACTCTTCTGACAAATGAACAGTCTTTCCCTAACAAGTTAGTAACATACTAACATGGAGCTACTTCTGTTCTTGGTGCCTCCAAGGAGACGGACTCTGTGGATCCATGATTCATTTCCTTTATGACTTAATTCTGTAGTGTTCCTTCTTTGATCTGTTGGATGAAAAGATTTTTCTCGTCTTCTGGAGTCCTCCCATTCTGAGCCCGGACTATACATGTAGGCCTATGCAGGTTCAGCATATAAATCAGCTGCTGTTTCTCGTTTTTCAATTCTTCTATTTGTGCTTTTAATTCTGCATTCAGAGATTCCAGTTTTTCTGACTCCTAGGGGCAAGAGATCATATTTAGTAATTTGTCAATTAAGTAATCAGTTATGATTTTTAAAACATTACACATTGAGTACTGCAAAATATATTCCTCCCCTTTTTATGTTAGCATTCATTACCTGTAAATTTATTACTTTGAAATTTTACATAAAAGATCAAACTGACATACAAAAATTTAAACAAAATTTGATTTGGGGAAATTTATTAGAATAATATTATCTATTTGATTGTTTTAACCTCTCAGGTAATGTAGTCCAAAAGACTCCAAAACTATCCAAGTGCTGTATTCCCAATTATATTGTACCATTTCAGGGTCCATTTAGATTGGTTTCCGGATGGGTGGGTATGACATGCTTACAAACAAACATTGTTCCCATAGCAGAGGCCTCAGATTGACAAAAATGGGATGTTCAATGTAGGCACAAAGCTTTTTGTGGAAGGTAAGATTCAAGATGACGCTGACACCGGGTGACTCCTTGCAAGCTCCCTACATCTAACTCTAACATTTCTTATAACTGTTCTACACTTTAATCTGTATATCCTTGCTTACTATGATCTGCCTGTACTGCTCACAAACAAAGGTTTTCACTGTACTTAGGTACACCTGACAATAAAGTCAAACAGAAAGGAACAGCCCTTGGACTGTTTGGATTAAAAAATCTGCAAGATATTTTTGATATGTTCTGTGCTGTATGACTCTATGATTCTAAGTACCTGTAGACATGCTGACTAGAACTTCAGTTGTAGCTATGTTTGTGCAATAAGTCAGCAACCATAATCACATGTATCTACTTAGGCATTCAGATGAGGATAATTTCAAAGTAAGTAGAAAAAGAAGAATAGACATTGTTGGTTGGCATTTGATCAACACTCAGCATATCTACAGGTACTACAGGTCCAATTTGCCTATGATGACCAGATATCCTAAATCAATCTAGTCCCATTTGCCAGCATCTGGCCCATATTCCTCTAAACGCTTCCCATTTATGTACTTATCCAGATGCCTTTTAAAATGTTGTAATTGTACCAGCCTCCACTTCCTGTCAGCTTGTTTCATCCTCTGCATGAAAAGTTGCCCCTTAAGTGTCTTTTACATTTTTCCCCTCTCACCTTAGACCTATGCCCTCGAGTTTTGGACTCCCAAGTGTGCTTACTGGTAGAATCACAAGATAAAAGACAGAGTCAAGAGTTTTGACTGTTGAGTGTGCTTTATTTCCTTGCCTTTAGTTTTTTTGATGAGTGTTTTGTACTTGCCATCTAGCTTTTAATGATTTGTGTACATATTCACCAAAGCCCCTTTGTTTTTCCAGTTTCTAATCTTCCACCATTAAGAAAATATTTCAACCAGTTTCTTTTGGATGTAAACTGTGTGTTGGGATAAGTAAGTTGTTTTATTCAAAATAGTATTTTACATTTGTATGGTTATCCCTATTGAGCTCCTTCTCCATATGTATCCAATCTCTTATTTTAATTCCAAGTTGAATAAGGAAAGCTCCCATAACTAAGGAGGAAAATCTCCAATTAGAATAGCTAGACAGCATTGAGTTTGGCAGGAATCACCATTAATGGTAGTAATAGCGATCAATAATATTCTGACAGAACATGCTAAATTTTACAGCTTCCCTGAACTGTATTAACTTAATATCTTAATCAGGAGATAACTAAAAAAATTATTGGCCATGTTTAAGCCTCTGTCATATTACGTACACAAAGAGCAAGTTTTCTACAAGTAGTACTCAGTTCATCCAGTAGGAATTTGTTCTAGAGCATTCATTGCATATGTACATTGTAGCTGCCCAGAAAGTAGCACCGCAATTAGAGTTAATTAGTATTAGAATTAGTAACACCTCTAAATGACAAAAATGAAGTGTGTCTTCAGACAGGGCCTTATTTAGACATTATGCTCCATTATTGACACCTGTGAATCTCAAAGGTCTTTCTCCTTTTTAAATATTTTTCAGGTTCATTTTCCTCGTAGGTGCGCCCATGAGTAACTAATTACACATTTCCTCAATTCTACCTCAGTCAGTTGTAACCCGAGACCACATTACAGAAGACAATGCCAAATAATCTGTATGCTACGCCTGATGTAGAAAGACTGCAACTGTGGGAACAAGGTCAATCTATGTAAGGAATAACATCCTCCTGGCTAATCAAATATCAGTGTTTTGGAAACAAAAAGAAATGTGACAGTGCAGTATTTTTTTGTAAAGAAGACAATTTTCCCAGGCTGTGGCCACGTAGGTAATACGTGTCAAAACAGTGCAATGCAGTTTCCATAAGCAGCTGTATCTCAGGCCAAACAAATTTATGCACCCAAGTGACACATGTACTTACTTTTTGTAATATGTCTGTCCTTTCCTTCTTCTTGTTTCGACATTTAGCTGCTGCTATTTTATTTCTTTCCCTTCTCCGCCTTCTTCGTTCATCTTCCTGTGGCGTCACCTAAAAGAATAAATGTCTAAACTCACTTTCTTGAATTTGTAAAATGATGGTAATGCCTCAAAACCTAAAATTAAATAAGGTCAGTATTTTCTCACACTGTTGTAATGTTTTAAGGTTTAGTGTTCACATTATGGTACAATTTTAGTATTTACAAGATATACATCTAAATGACGTACCTTTCTTTCTACTGCTTCATTTAAACTCTCAGTTGCTGTTAAATAATCCATACTTGAGGCTCCATTTGATATCCGTTTGCTTTGAATAGCAAATCGCAGCTCTTCTTTGACCAAAGGGGTAATGTTTGTAAACTCATCAAATACCAAAGACATTGAAGGCGAAATACATGGAACTACTGCTGCTGTACTGACATCTGATGCAGATGATTGTCCTATGTGTTGAAGCATCATGGTACTGGCTGTTCAAAAAAAAAGAATGAACATGAAATTATTCAAGGCAATTGGATTAAAATCAAGTTTCCAGATTTTGGCTTCTCATCATTTTTCTTAGCTTACGTCTCTCTCTTCACTTCATATGCCTACCTCAATCTAGAATATGCCATTCAGAAATATCCGAATGTAGCCCAAAACTGATTGTCTCTCTTCCTCTCCCTATGGGCAAATGCCTTGTCTCTATCCAGCCCAAATCGCCAGGTGAAATGAAAAATCCCAGACCAGACCATGAACTTAGATTCCACTCCATGTGTAACGGTACTACGCTTTTTTTAAAAATTGCTCTTATTGTTACTATATAAAGCTTGCATAACTATTTCTAAAAAAAGTGATTGAGGGATGGGAAAAAAAAAAACAGTGGATTTTTGGAAGGCAGCTGCTGATGGACCCGGGGTGAACAGGAGGATTACCATTCTCCTTCCGTTCCTCAACAACAGGCCAAAGAGTGGGACCTGGGAGGCTTCAAGCCTGGCTCAGGGAGAATCGCAACAGAGTTCTAGGCAGCACGAAAGGCACATGTGGCACTACTCTCAACTTCTCCCTCCCACTTGCCTGTAAACCTGCTCCTGGGAATGTAAAATTCTGCACATGTATTTTTGTCAGGCATCGTCATCCACTGCAGAAAGAACTGACTTCCTATCCATTAAAATGAACATAGTTGGATAATTTCCAGGCTTGTACTTTCATTGAGTGAGGCTCCCCACCGGAAGTGCATACTTATGAATTGTTCTTGTGAAAAAGACATTTAAAGTTGTGCATATAACTAAAAAAATTGAGGAAAACCGGTTTGCTGTTTGGGTGATTTATCTGCGATCAGGCAACAATGTTAAAACTAGCCCTGGGTTGGTTCTGAAAAACAATATTCACTCCCATTCTTTATTATTTGCTGAACTGACTTTTGTCAAAGTGGTCCTTAAGCGTGAAGGTCACTCATCTTTTAAGTAATTAGCCATAGACCACAAGGATCCATAGGTATCCCTCTTGATTAGATGGAAAGAATTGGTTCCCTATAGCTTGAGGGGCAGCATTGCACAGGCATGGGGCAAAGCAAGGCAGCAAGTCTCAGTGCATGATTGTTGTAACCTTGGCTAATCGTACCACCTCTTTCACAGTCTGTGCGGAGTCAGCAGATTTTGGTCTGTGCAGAGGACTAATCTTAGAGTCATAGAGAAATACAGCAAGGAAACAGGCCCTTAGGCCCAAACTGATCCATGCTGACCATGGTGCCCACTCAGCTAATTCCAATTGCCCACATTTGGTCCATATCCCTCTAAACCCTTCCCATCCACATACCTATCCAAATATGTTTTTTAAAAATATTGCTATAGTATCTGCCTCAACCACTTTCTCTGGTAGCCCATTCTATATACGCACCACTCTCTACTTGAGGAAGTTGCCTCAGGTTCTTAGATCTTTCCCCTCTCACCTTAAACCTATGCCCTCTAGTTTTCAATTTGCCATCCCTGGGAAAAAGGCTCTATGCATTCATCCTATCTACAGCCTCAATAAGATCACTCCTCATTCTCCTTTGTTCCAAGGAGGAAAATCCTATCCTGGCCAACCTCTCCCTATAACTCAGGCCTACTAGCCCTGGCAACATCCTCAAATCTTCTTTGCACACTGTCCAGTTTAACTATGTCTTTCCTACAACAGGGTGACCAAAACTACACACAATACTCCAAGTGCGGCCTCAATGACTTATACAACTGTAACATAACATTCCAACTCCTATACTCTATGCCTTGAATGATGAAGACCAGCATGCTAAATGCCTTCTTCACCACACTGTCCACCTGTGACGCCACTTTCAATGAACTATGTACTTGTACTCCTAGGTCTCTGTTTCACAACACTCCTCAGGATCTTACCATTTACTGTATAAGTCTTACCTTGGTTTGACTCTTCAATACAGATAAGACCTCACACTTATCTGTATTGAATTCATTTGCCAATCCTCAGCCCACTTCCCCATCTGATCAAGATCCCTCTGAAGTTTTTGATAACCTTCCTCGCTATCAATGATACCTCCTAATATTGTATCATCTGCAAACTTACTAATCATGCCTTATACATTCACATTTAGATCATTTATGTAAATAACAACCAACAACGGTCCCAGCACCAACTCCTGTGGCACACCACTAGTCACAAGCCTCCAGTCCAAGAAACAACCTTCAACCATCACCCTCTACTTCCTACCATCGAGCCAGTTTGGAATCCAATTAGCCAGCTCTCCCTGGATCCCATGCGACCTAATCTAATCTTAGTGACTCTGCTGATAATTCAAACTATACACTGAAACTAAAACAATAAAATTAGCGAAAAGACGGAAGCAAATCAATGAAATGATTTTCATTTTGTCATTTGGCTCTGTACTATTGTTTTCCTCCTCCTCAAAAGGCTTTTCAGTGCATCTTGACTGAACTCAGTCTCAATTTCTCAAAATAAAATGATGCAAGTGTGTGAATGCCTGTATCATGCAATTTTTCCACTGATTCTGCTGCTATTGGGAAACTTTCTGAAATATTCTGCATTATAAAGTCGAGTAAATGCTGGCAGAGTAGTCTACTCTTTGTAGACTCAGGAATGAGCGTCCTGCTCTTCAAGTGTTGTAACTCAAGAATTAATCTGGGATTGGCACCAGATAAAATTACCCAGAATCAATTCAAGGCCAATTTGAAAATATTGTGCATATCCAGGCAACAGGGGGATGTCAACGAAGGTGTGACGTTGCACTGTTTTATGAAGATCTGTTATAGCTCTGAGATTAGAAGACAGCTGTTCTTTGACTGCTCAGTATAAATGCTTGCTCAAATGTTGTCCCGTCAACGCCTCAGCGATTAATCATTCATTCTGTTACATAATCAACTAGGAATGTTTTTGGTTAGATCTCAGGGTTGCAGTCTGTACATAGCACTTCCGTTTCCATTCCTAATCGTTGCCACAATTAGGAATTTTTTTAAACAGTTAGGGCAGTGTGTTGCAAAGGCATTTATAGGTTTGAAACCATTATAAGCATGTCTCATTGATCTCCATATGCGTAACTCAGGACCTCGCTTAACATCATGCTCAGGTAAAGAGTAAATGGAACTGGGTACAATACAAAGGACAAAATAACGTCATCCTTCAGGTGTCTTTACGTGTTTGCTTGCTGTTTAAGCCAAGGTAGCAGTGCAGTTCAATAATTTACACACCATATATGCACATTTACAAACTGATACTGTGTTGCCAAAAATGTTGCCACATTGAAGAAGGGAGCTCAGAAACCGGAACTGAAGAAAATTCCATGAAAAGAGGGAGGGGAGAATTTTTAAAAATTCATTCATGGATGTCGGCATCACAAGCAAGACCAGCATTTACTACCAATCACAAATTGTCCTCAAGCAAAGGTGTTGAGTCATTTTTTTGAACCACTAAAGTCCATTTGGTGTAATCACATCCACCACAAAGATGGTTTCCTTGCTCCCTTCACAGAAGCCATTAGTACCATTTTTCCTCTCACTTAACAGCGTTTATACATTCACCAGTTCTCAGAGATCCTGTCTCACTTCATATTCCCCTCCCTTCGCTCCTAGTCAACTACCTCAACCTGATTGCAGAATTTAACAGATTGTGAACTAACTGGTGTGGCCGAGATCAGAAACCCACCTGGTAGGAACAGGTAGTTCCCTAAGGAATAAATAAACAGACAAATAAACAAACACCTTTGCATCGTATTGTTCTAACTGGTTTAAAAAAATTCTCATGGCAGCAAATGGAGGCAGAAGTGCTATATTCAAAATGGAAATCTGAAATCTTTTCTATCTGACCAATCACCAGTCGCTAACTCTCCCTTTCTCTTTTGTAAAACAATAATTAAGAGCAGAGATCCGGTCAATGTTGTGATCATGAGCAATTTGGAACAGTAAAGATTTATACACGTGCCTGAGCTAAGAGCATTGGAAGCCCCAAACCTCAGTGCCCAATGAACTCTAACTGTCTGAACTCCCACTCTTCCCTCTGACCAAACAGTGGTTCTTCCAGGATGTAGTCAGGAGTCAGATCCTAAAGATAAAAGTGATTCATTTTCAATGATCAAGGAGATAAAATCTCTCCAGGCTTTAACATGTGGGTTTCACACTCATTCTAACCCCAATCCTGATCAGAGTTAAAAATCAAGGCTCCAATCAGGGTTAATCAGGTATCTCAACTTATTTTTTTAAAATTGTGACCAATTTGTACAACGTCTCGTTTTCAGAGATGCATATCTCTTGCCACAACTTCCTCAGTCTTCATACTTTCATCAGAAGATTAGCAAAAGCAGCAGTTACTTGTCGATGCAGAGTTTCTGCCAATATTCTAGCAACCTCAAGAGTTCAAAGGCAATTCTCAGCCTTTGTATAAAAAGTGAACTTTGGCTTAGTAGCAGAATTCAGATTTATAAGTTGTGGGAGCCGAGCCTCACTTGAGAAACTGGGACACATAATTTAGGCAATATTTTAAAAACAGTATTCAGAACTGCTGAGTTTTTGAAGGTGGTGTCTTTCAGCGAAGCTGAATCAAGAGATCCCAATAGCAAAAATGGAACCAGATTTGAAATGTACAAGGGCCATGACTGTTCCTGCCCAATGCATTTCTTACCTAACTGGTGACAGAATTGAATTTGCAATCAGTTTCTGTTGAATCATAGACTCGTACAGCATGGAAACAGACCCTTCAGTCCAACCAGTCCATGCCGACCATTGTCCCAAACTAAACTAGGCCCACCTGCCTGCATTTGGCCCTTTCCTGGTTCTTGATCTTATCCAAACATTCTTTAAGTGTTGTAACTGTACCTGTATCCACTACTATCTTTGGCAAATCATTCTGCACAAACAACTCTAAAAAAAGCTGCCCCTTATGTCTTTTTTAAATCTCTCCTCACGCATTAAAAATATGCCCCCTAGTTTTGAACTCCCCTACCCTGATGAAAAGACCCTTGCTACTCACCTTATCTAAGCCACTCATGATTTTATAAACCTAGTTAAGGTCACCCCTCAACCTTCTATCCTCCAGCGAAAAAAAGTCCCAGACTTTCCAATCTAGTTTTACATCTCAAACCCTCTATTCCCAGCAACATCCTGGTAAATCTTTTCTGAACCCTCTCCAGTTTAATAATATCCTTCCTGTAAACAGGGCAACAAGAACTGCACACATTGCTCCAGAAGAGGCCTCACCAATGTCCTGTACAACCTCAACATAGTGTCCCAACTCCTATACTCAATGGTCTGAGCAATGAAGGCAAACATGCTAAGTGCCTCCTTAACCACCCTGTCTACCTGTGATACAAATGTCGAAGAATTATGTACCTGAACCCAAGGTCTCTGTTCTACAACACTACTAGGGCCCCACCATTAATTGTATAAGTCCTGTTCTTTTTTGTATTACAAAAATGAAATACCTCACATTTATCCAAATTAAACTCCATCTGCCACTCCGCAGTCCATTTACCCAATTGAACAAGATCTCTTTGGAATCTTAGGTAACCTTCTTCACTTCCACTATACCATCAATTTTGGTGTCATCTGCAAATTTACTAACTATGCCTCTTATATTCACATCCAAATTATTTATATAAATGACAAAACAGGGACTCGTACTTTTCCCTCTGGAAAACCACAGGCCTCTAGTCTGAAAAACAACCCTCCATCAGCACCCTCTGTCTCCCATCCTGTATCCAATTGGCAAAGTCACCCTAAATTCCATGTGAGCTAACTTTACTAATTTGTCTATCACGCAGAGCCTTGTCAAAGGCTTTACTAAAGTCCAAGTAAACATCTGCCACAGAGCCCTCAATCTTTTTGGTTACTTCAAGTTTGAGGGACACTATTTTCCTCAAACAAAGCCATGCTGACTATCCCTGATCAACACTTAACCTCTCCAAATGCATGTCAATCCTATCTTTCAGAATCACCTCTAAGTAACTTAGCCACCACTGATGTCAAACTAACAGCTGTATAATTTCCAGGCTTCTCCTTACAGCCTTTCTCAAACAATGGCACAACTCTCCAGTCCTGACACTTTACTAGTACTTAAACAGGGGACTAAGTTGAATTTTGCAAATCTAACTGTTCCAACTGTCGGTCAGACAATAAAATTATGGCCCTATAGTTTTTATTCTGCACAAGCAAATTTGTTGTCAGGTCCACCAAACACAACAAAATTCCAAATGTCCACTTCTCCTTAACAGTGGCATTGTCATCCTGTAAGCAGAGGCCAGATCTGTAGATAGATAAGTACATACAGTAACGGATTACCGACAGGATCACATCGCTCTGTCAATGACAGAGTTTATCTAAACTAATTCACTAACCTTCAGTAAAAATGGAGAGAGAAATAAAACATTGCAAACCTTCACATTGTACCAAATATTCTTCAGGTGCAGTACGATGTCCCAACACACAATTATATCTCAGTGATTATTTTCAAACAACTTAGATCAACTTACTGGAAGAATCCATTTGCAAACAATACTATTAGTTTTACCCATAAGCACTCACGGCAATAAATCAACATCACTAGATCCTGCAGCACTATGCAGAATCCAACAACAGGAAGGTGACATAACACTAGCATGCAGACATGAATGACAGTTAATTAAAATGTCTGCCAGTAAATAGCTGTGAAATCAACAGCTATTCGTTTGTAAGACTGCTGTTGTACATTGCACTTGGCATTCAGAATCAACATCGACATAAATGAGCCCCCTAGCAGTCTATAACACTATGGATCGATGCCTGTTCTGTACAAAACATGGCTACAATATACACTTTCAACAGATGTCCAATAGGTTAAAATATTGATACCAAAGACCAAGTTTACAAACTAACATGGAGATAGTGTTCTATTGTTTAAATGATGGCTTGAGCTACTTTATCATACCAAGTGTGTAATTTTCTGATGATAGTGGACACCACCTTCATACAGAATCACAGTAAAAACAGTGAAAGGTCAAGATAGCAGTTTCTCCCTCTTTCTTATGTTTTAAAGTCCCTATTTTTTGAGAATCGTTTTGGGAAATGGTGGTGTAGTGATAACATCACTGGATGAGTAATCCAGAACCAGTCTATTGTTTTGGGGACATGAGTCTGTATCCCATTGTGGCACACAGTGAAATCTGAATTGAATTAAGAAATTCTGGAATTTAAAAATTAAATATTAAAGGCAACCATGTAACTGCTGTTGATCATCATAAAATCCAATTTGGTTTACTAATATCCTTTAGGGAAGGAAATCTGTCCTTGACACCAGACCCAGTACAATATGGTTGACTCTTAACTGCTCTCTGGGCAGTTGGGGATGAGCAATTGGTGCTGACTTAGCCAGTGGTGTCCACAAATAAAAAATCTGCTCTGCTGGGGTCAATGACAAACTACAGACTTAAGCGTAGCTGTTACACTGAAAGTGATGTGCACACAAACCATGGGCCTTGTTTACATTACAGAAACCCCACTGCAAGTAGTAATTGTCATGACTGTGACAGGATAACATGCTACCTGGACAAAGAAGTACTGTCAATCACCTCCACATAGACAATGAAGCGGTGTTGCTATCTCTGGCTCTATGTAAACCTCCCTGAGCAACATACAAGTCTTCAACAAGAGTAAATATCAACTTTATAATAATTACAACTGAAAACCATAGCTGCATTTAATTGAATAGGGATTTATTTTAATTTATTCAAAGGATACGAGCATTACTGGCCAAGCCAGCATTAACTCCCCATCCCCAATCACCTTTAAGGTGGTGTTGGTTAGCCTTCTCCTTCAGGTTCTGCAGGCCTTGTTGTGCAGGTACATCCACAGTGATGCTAGAAATGGAATTCCAACATGGCGTCTTGGCAACAGTGAAGGAGGGACAACATAATTCCAGGGCAGGATGGATGTGGCTTGGAGGGGAGCTTGCAGAGGGTGATGCCGTCTGTTGCTCTTGTTCCTCTAGTTGATAGAGATTATGAATTAGGGAGGTGCAGTCCAGAAGGAGGAAGAGTATGGAGGAACAAGTATTTGGTTCCAAACATAATCACATCCAGGTCAAGTGCACTGAGAGAGATAAAGCTGGCAGTCCAAGAATGCAAATGTTAAATGATATCACTTTGTTTGTTAGAGGCTTTCTCGATTTAGAGGCTTCAGCAGGAATAGTTTCATGCTCCTGGGCAATTCTTCCCTGAGTTGGGATAACTGGCATAGATAATAGAGTAGATTAGGTATTATAGAGGATACCCAAGAGGACTGTTATTGAGATCCATGTGGGGACAAACAGTACAATGGAAAAAAGCTCATGAGTCATAGCCATAGAAAGATGGAATAACATCATTGAGCATGTTGTTCTATTATTGTTTCAGATCTTCTATTGACCAGTCATGATTTTACCTATTAGAAAAGCAGAATTAAGTATTTCATAAACCACATTACATAGCAGGACAAAGCTGAAGAAAAAACTGGGAACTGGAGTCAGTACGTGGAAGGACTGAAGCCTTTCAATAAGGACGGATTCACTTGAGCAAGTTAAGTGGAATGTTTCACTGCTATTGCTAAGGAAACACTCAGAACATCCTTTACCTTATTAGACTAGCAAGGGAGAAAAATTAAAGAACAATATAACTAAAAGCAATGAAGCTCACCATCGGACCCAGCAGGAAAGAATTCAATCAAGGGTCAAAATTGCATCAAATTAGGCTATTTTATCAAATGCTTCTATATTGAAGCATTAGAAATAAATTGACACAAGATGATATAGTGCAAGTGTAAAACCTTTTGCTAACAGCCTCACTGAATGTGCCTCATCACATACTGAATCTCAATATGTTGTTTGGAAAGGGTAGGGTAGATAATAGGGGGAGAAGGTGGAGCTGTCAGCAATGTTGGAAGAATACAATATATAATGGAACAAGGTGTTATACCAAGTGGAAAGAATACTGTGGCAGCTTTCACTGAATATTTTTAGTGCTAAAGAACCTCCCAGCTGATCAGGAGAAGCCTTAAATTAGTTTACCTCATGTTTACTATATTTTTGTAAAGGGATTAACGTCAGCACAAGGAGTAACCAGCCAGAGGTGCATTACGGAGTTGATCACATTTAAAATACCTGCAAGCAGTTTCTATAGTGCCTGCACATCATGGTGTTGATTGGTGCTTCAAGTGACACCCTCAAACAGGGAACAACGGTTTGGACATGAACATAAAACACTGAACAGTACAGCACAGGAACAGGCCCTTTTGCTCACAAGGTCTATGCCAATCTAAACTAATCCTATCTGCCAGCACATGGTCCATATCCCTCTATTCCCTACTTGTTCATGCATCTAATCACATCATTAATGCCAACTTGAAACACTACCTAAAGGGATACCCATCATGTAATGATCATTTCTGTGAGGAGGACTTCTGAAACTATCCAGTTCCCCGAGGGTGGTACCTTGCAGTTTCTGCCAGGTTGGATTTGATGGTGAGATCAGGAGCACACCAGGTCAATGGGTTAATGAGTTCCTAGCTCTGACCAATGCAAAGGGCAAGGTGGAAGTGGTTACAGTTATCCACCTCAGTTAATTTCCTTATGCAAGTGCTCACATGTGAACAAATTGAAGACACCGGCAGACAGGCCTCCCACTTACAGCAATCCTGAGCAGGAACCTGGAGAGGAATTACCAGCACCTCACTGAAAGATGGTCAGATTTTCAGTGCTTACTCCCGCTAACAGAGTCACTTTGACAACAGTTGCAGCCCCAGGCCATCTCCAGAGGCTCCTTCTCACAATGATGAATTGGCAGCTGCAACCACCATATCTTCTCTGGGACTCAAGTTTAAGCAGTACCTCCTATCCACTTTTTTGTCCGATAATTCTGCCTGTAAAACTTCTAGATTCAAATATTATATCAATTACCAGAAAAAAAACCAAATACTTCTTTTAAATTATCCACTTATTGCATGATTCATCTTTTTTCCTGTTGCAGAATTTACAACATTAGCTAAGCAACATGAGTCAACGGTTTATTCTTTGAACTTTAATAACCTTAAATTTGCTATAATGAGTTGACATCCCTGTAACCAAGTTTACTTCATCTGTAGACATTAGATGTTAAATGTTTAAAGAACATCACTAAACCAGGCTGAAAGTACTTCATGCGGTTTTGGTTTCTATATTACGAAATGGATTTTGAAATACTGTAGAATGTGCTGTGCAACAAGAGACTTACAAGGATGGTGCCAGAAGTGTCAGAGATTACAACAATTTGGAAGAAATTGAACAGGCTAAGGTCTTGTCTCTAAGAAAGGGAAACTGAGAACTGATCTGAAAAAAGTCTTTAATTATGAAGGGCATAAGTAGGGGAAGGATTAAGTGATCACTGTGTGGATTTTAGTCTACATATTGATTGGGAAAATCAGATGGGCACAGGTAGCTTAGATGAGGAATTCATAAAATATTTTCAGGAGTGATTGTTACAACAGCATATTCCGATGCGACTAGACAGCAGGCTTTACTAGAGCTAGTATTGACCAACAAGAAAGTTTTAATTAATCGCCTCGTACTGAAGATACCCCAAGGCAACACTGACCATAACAATTGTTGTTTGAAAGAGAGAAAAGTATATTTAATACTAATATTTTAAACTTAAGATAAAGAACAACTAGGAGGACATGAAAGCCAAACTAATGAAACTGACCTAGCAATTTAAGCTAAGGATAAGTCAATAGAGTTAAAAATAGAGTGGTGGATGTTTAAGGAGATATTTCAAAATGCATAGAATTGATGCATTTCAACAAGAAATAAAATTTCCAAAGAATGAACCCATTTTCCCTGTTTAATTAAAAGGAACTTAAAGATAATATTAAGCTTAAAGAAAACGTAAAATTGCATAAAGATGTGCGGCAGGTCAGATGATTGGGCAGATAATTAAAAAACTAAACAATTAATAAGGGAGGAAAATTAGAACAAAACAGAAGGCTAGGTAAAGATATAGAAACAGTGAGAGTGAAAACAGTTTTTCAATAAAAACAGAGCTAACAAAGTGACCACTGGTCCTATAGAATGAGTTTGGAGAATCGATAATGATAAATAAGCAGATGATAGTTGAATTTAAGAGGCATTTTGATTTGGCTTTCACTATAGAGGATACAAGTAACAGCTCAGAAATTGCCGCCACTCAGAAATAGAAGGAGAGGAACCCGTGATTATTACAATTATCAGGGGAGTAATGCTTGGTACAAATACGAAACAACAAGCTCCCAGGTGTGATTGGTTTCATCATGGGTCTTAAAAACTGACTGGTGTGATAGTTGATGTGTTGGTTTTAATTGTTCAAAATCATTAGATCTGGGACGTTCCATTAGATTGCAAAGTAGCTTATGTTATCCTTCATTCAAAAAGGGAGACAAAAAGCAAGGCTAGAAGATATAGGAGCAGAATTAGGCCATTCAGCCCATCGAGTCTGCTGTGCCATTCAAACATTTTGATAGGTTTCTGAATCCCAATCTCCTGCCTTCTTCCCATAACCTTTGATCCCCTTACATATCAAGAACTAATCTCTGTCTTAAATACAAAGCAAGAAACTATTGGTAACTACATGAAATACAAAATCCTTAACAGGGTGTACATGGAAAGGATGTTTTCTCTGGTGGGAGACTCTAGAGGTAGGGGTGACTTTAAAAATAAGAGGTTGCCATTTATAAGGGGTTGCCCATTTGAAACAGATAGAAATAAGGAGAATTGTTATTTCTGAGGGTTGGGAGTCTATGGAGCTCTTTCTTGTAAGGCGGTGGAAACAGATTCTCTGAATATTTTTAAGGCAGAGATAGATAGTGTTTGATAAGCCGTGGTGGGGAGGTTCAAAAGGTTATTGGGGCTAAGCAAGAATTTGAAATTGAGTTTAACATCAAATCAGCTGTGATCTTATTGAATCATGGAACAAGATCAAAGACCCAAGTGGTTAACCTGCTACTGATTGTAAAATGTATACAGAGGTCTCCACTCAATGAGGGAGGGTGGGGGGAATGGGTGCAGAACTGGGGCCACAGTTATAAAATAAAATAGTCACCTATAAATCCAATAGGAATTCAGGAGGAACTTCTTTATACAAAGTAGTGAGAATGGAACTTATCACCACAAGAGGTAGTTGAATGATGGGCATAGATGCATTTAAGGTGGAAATAGGTCAATATGATAAAAGGAACAGAACAATATTTGATAGGGTCAGAATAGTAAGGTGGAAGTCCAATTATTTGGAGCACAAATATTGACATATGGAGTCAAACAAAAACAGAAACTGCTGGAGAAACTCAGTAGATCTGGCAGCATCTGCGAACAGAATACAGAGTTAATGTTTCAAACAGTTAAAAGGAAGGGTCACTGGACTTGAAATGTTAACTATGTTTAGTGTGCACAGATGCTGTCAGGCCTGCTGAGTTTCTTCAGCAATTCCTATTTTTTTGTTTCAGATCTCCAGCATCCACAGTACTTTGTTTTATGTTATTGGCCTATTGAGTCAAGTGGCATAGTTTTAATGTTCTAAATTATTTGCTATCTTTACTGTAATATTACCGGCAATTACATAAATTGATTACATGTCCAGGGATTTAAAGTCTCCGTGCTGTTCATTTTCTTGCTCATCAGCAAACAACTGCATTACCAAAATGAGGTCATCATGTAGTGACATTATTGCATTATTCTATCATTATCACATCATTACTAGTGCTGTCGGTGGAACTCAAACAATGTTATTGTTACTATATTGACTATGTTGGTTTACAAGCGAGCAAAGGTTCTTCTGCACACTCTTCCTTTGGCTCTTTGTTGAATTTATAGCTATTCTTACTCCTCGGTTCTGTTTCCAAGAAAACTGTTAATCTGTAGAGTTGTTTTTCCTTCAACAGTTCTTTGCAACAAAACAACCCCATGCTCCAACAACCAACTGATTAAGCAATTTCTCAACCTCTCTTCT